TAACACTCTAGGCTTATGCTGCCCCCATGACAATGACGAGGCCCTCCCCAGCACCCTATATGGGTTCCCATCCGGGGGACGTGGACAAGGCAGTATTCGATGCGGCAGTAGCTGCTGCTGCCAAGGCCATCAATGAGTCCCGAGGAGGCCCTTCTGATGGGTTGGTTCTGTTGTCACTATTGGGTGGGTAGAGTTCTCGCAGATCACAGCCGACGGTTGGTGGGGAGCACTTCCGACCTGCCCCCATGCAACAGCCTAGGGTTGGCAGCCCGACGCCCCCCTTGCTGGCTCCAATGCCCAGCAGAGCTACTACGACTAAACGTGAACTATCGGGCAACACCTTATTTGTCGAGTCCATGAACCATCTTCAACAGCAGCCTGTGAAAAAGTAAATTTTCGAGTCCTCTGAGACCCGCATTGTGTACAGCAGGAACGACCCGGCCAGTGCTACTAGTCTTGGCAGTCACCCTGCTGACGGTGTTAGATTGGCTCCTTATGTGCCTCCTGATGAGGAGGCCTGTGATCCAGGGGAATCTTCGTAAGACTTAATCAATCCTCTTTGCAATGTATAGTAATGCATGTGTATGGCTAATGAAGCAGTTTCATTTACAATGAATTATGTTATTGTGTTATCGATCTAGTATGATACCGCACCTTTCCCTAAACCTGTGCTCGCACAATAGGGTAGTTTAGCACTCATGCAAATAAGACGATTCTGGTGTTCATATTGCCAGCGAAATCACCCTAGGCAAAGACAGCGACAAGATCAGATAATCAGTCTCTGAGCCCGATAGGGTACCCTGATGGTTCGACTTTGCATGGGAGGCTAGGTTAGATTATACTACAGCTTTCACCGCCATCTACAGCTCCAATACTTATACTATTCAATCGAATAGAAAACTAGGGAACACAACACATAGAGTCAAGGCAACGGATCAGTTATGCGCAGTAGTGACTCAAGGAGTCTGACAGGTCTCTCTTCTCCACCGTCAGGCTTGCATCTAAGACAGTTCTCAGGGACAGAGCCAGCCGCAGTATGGCTCATGAAGGGTCTTCCAAAGCGACAAGTATTGTCACAATAAACCGCCTCGTCTATAGTGGGCCTATTACGAACTATATAATAATTATCATCAACGTTTTTGAATGATTTCTTTATATACTGCTCATCAGCCAACCGTCCATCACCAAGGAAGCGCATGAACGCACGTTGAATGGCAATATCGGGCTCGTTGTGAACCAGCACTATGGTGATACGGTAGCCTGCCTCTTTATAAGGTGGTATAACACGCTCAACAAGACGAGTTATGTCCTTGCCAGTGTCCTCATATATAACATTGAGACCCTCAGCAACAGCCACTGTATTGGCCAACTTCGCCGCTTTTATTGCAGGTTTATAACACTTCGGGCTGGCCGCATCCTCGAATACGAAATACTTGTCGTTAGCAGAGTGGTTGAACTCAGGAACGAACTGTAGGAACTCATCGAGACCGATCAAGGCGAAGGCGTCTCTCGGACCTCCTCCTTCACGCCATTTACGTAAAAGTGTACCTTGGGAAACACTTGGTGATATCAGATTAGTTCACCATGACATCTTAGGAAGAAACCAATCCAGTGTTGCAATATATGTTCGCTTTCCTCAGCTGAGCGTATAAGTTTCCTCACTAATCATGGGAGTACAAATTGGGAAACCAGCAAGAATTTCCGAAAATGTCCTCAGAATTTTCATATCGTCACCAACACATGTAGTTGACCATGTGCAATTTTCACACCATTGCCGTACTCATTGCCTTACAATTCCACTCGTGTCATTAGCTATCAATGGAGTTTCACAATCCGTTTTACGTGAAAAACGTGATATTCGCGATATGAAGTGATTAAAAACACTTCGCGAATTTCACCAGATAAATCATCACACTTCACGAAAAACGCTCGCGGCATTTCACGATAAACGTGAAAAACTCCGAGTAATCAGCGTTTTACACTATTTCTTTCACGGGGGAGATTGTGAATTTCGCGAAGTGAAATGTGGAATGTGTTTTTCCACTACTGTTTTTCATTTCACGGGTGAACCTCCAATATATTACAATATTAAAACTAGATCATAATAAGGGATAAATAAATATGCATTATATGTACTAGTATTAAGTGATATCATCAATGGCTATACAATGGAGTTTCACCCGTGAAATGAAAAACACTACTGAAAAACATGTTTCGCGACAACTTCATATCACCGCGAATATCGGTTTTTCATGGAGTATTACGTAAAACGGGTGAAACTCCAATATATCCAATATCATGGTTTACGTAAACTACACAATATATACTACATATTATAGTATAATAGTTCGAGCCTACTACCTTTTCCCGCGCCAGGACCACCCAGTAGTAGTAACATATCTGGCTTGTCTTCAACAGGATTAGCCGACCTGTACTGACGAGCCGCGGCGAGATGAGTATCCACCCACGATTGAATCTCCTGAGCAGTATTATAATTAGATCACATACCATTCCCCGAGGGAATTTTTCGGCGGAGAAGATCCGAATAACAGCCGAGGCTAACGATGATGATGATGAAGAATATATATATGATGATGAATAGTATTGATTCAATATCAAGGCAATAGACGCAAGTATAGGAAGGAGTCGGAAAAATAATCAATAATTATTTTTTCCAGTGTTAACACGAAGAATAATATTCACGCCCGGTGAAAACCGAGCTTGAATGAGAGGGAACAGCAAGCAACTGCGAGATGGTGAAATACGACGACGATTCACATAGGAGCATATATGTACTCTCTACAGCTGAGCTCGGGAGTTTCCTCACTGATTAAAGGAGTTTATATACGAATCAACCCGGAGATGTTCAGAAACCAACAATAATTTCCCGAAATTCCATAAAATTTTCATAGTGTCACCGACACATGTAGTTGAACATGTGCATATTTTCCCCTCACACTGCACTATACCATCACAATTTTTTCAAAGCACATACTTGTTTGATTTCCATTTCAGAATCACAACGACTACAACTTTTCAACCTCAAATTCAAAAAGTGAAAGAACAAATTAGAAAAATGAAATTTGATTTCAGTGGAGTTTTCCTCAGAATTTGAGATTGGGTTACATTCACCATCAACAGCATAGTTTCATGCACAATGAAGTTTCACCCTAGTGATATGAAAACACTAGTGAAAAAACATATTCCACGACTGCTGCATATCACCGCGTTTTTCACAGAGTATTACTCCACTTCACGTAAAACGGGTGAACCTCCAGTGTACTAACCTTCATTTCGTATTCATCTCGACAAGGAGTGGTAGTAGCCTCTTTCACACCCCGAATCACTCTCGGCAAACGAAATCGCATCGGTATCATATTTTCCCTCTGGAAGATCCAAAACAGGCCCAAAGCCCCGAGCAGTAGGAGCCTTCCCACCCAACCGAGCTGCTTGTCGGCAACTTTACCATGAAAGTTCTCATGGGGCCCGACGGACTTTTCAGTCAAGCGGCTTTGGGTCGTTTCTGGTGTGTTTTTCCTTGGTCGAGGAGGCATTGAAAAAGAGGGAAAACTACCGTATTTTACGATGATGGGAATTTTTCAGTGAAAAAACACAGCGGATACTGTTATACACATCTTAGTATCACCAATGATATAGTCGAGGTCACAAGGTCGGTGACAAAGTGACACTAGTCACTTTATCAACAACTGCGGTTTTCCTCCAGAGCGGGAAAAATTAAAAATAACAAAGGTGAAGAAAAAAATCAAACTTACGCAACGACTCCATATCACTACTGTATTGCCTAATCGAAGTATTACCTAATGTATTGCCTGAACTGAAACTTCTAGCTTCGTGACACACGAGATGTGAGCGTTTGCGTGATGGTAATGTAGGACGAGAGGACGGAGGAGATGAGCTGCTTCTATCAACGGACAAAGCATCATCAAACTCATCAAAGCGATACGAAGTCGATGACTTAGCCTTAGCCTTACCTTTAGGCTTAGGAATGCTAGACATAGCAGACTCTGGATCGTCAACACGAGTAGATCTAGTCACAACCATCCTTACCACTTGCTAAGTGCGACAAGATTAATCAATACTATAACTAGAAATTATTAAATAGTCGAGATGACGGGAGATACCGATCGTTCAATGAACCATGGGGTCGTTCAATGAACCGATTTCGAAACGCAGAATCGTTTCAAGAATCGCTTATTACACGTATAATACGATGCTAGAATCGATTCCGAATTCCACAATTGATTCAATGAACATGGGGTATGCCTTGCGCGATAATGGAATCGTTTCTGAAAATCGATTTTAAAAATCGTTTCCGACTTCGACGCGCTCAATGGAAACGATTTTGAAAAATCGATTCTAGAGTCGATTATAAAACTCAAAATCGATTTTTTTAACAGTCCGATAGTTGGGAGTGAAAATCTTGAAAACTTGCAATTTCCCACTGCCTCGAGGCTCAATACCGCCATATTGCATTTTCCAAGATGCACATCCATGTGAGTTGGAAACTTGCGACATTCTAATAATGTAAATAATTCCTCTGCTGCTTTTGCTTGAACGACTGGTCTTAAGAAATACCTTCACCAGATATTCGTGCGTGAAGTCCTCCGAGTTGAACTTTTCTGATTGTGTAAGTTGTTTATTCCTCTAATGTCCTCCTCCAGCACAGAGGACCTCTATTCACAGGTAAGGGGGAGTTCGATGAGATATGGTATTGTATTATTACAACGAAAGCTGTGGATCGCACTCGCAGTAGTAGAAATGTAAATTCATCGTTTTTTCTCCGTCGTCAGGCGCTTACATGTATCAATAACAATAATTACAGCGAGGCTGAGATTATACTTGATAGAATATTGCAGAGAGTGGAGGAGGAGTTCGGGCCGGATCACGCTGATACAGCGCAGTGCTTGATGATGTTCGGCATGGTAATGCCGTAGTTCCTATTTGCAGGTCAACTTATTTCGAAAGAAATATTTATTTTATATTTCACATCATTTATTATTTATTTATTATTTATTTATTTTTTTTATTTGATATTTTGATTCATATTTCATGTATCGTGTGAAAAACGAAACGTGAACTGAAGAAAAATGATCAATGAATATTTAAAACCGAGCACAGTCCCGGGAGGACACACATTTCCACGACACTGCATTTAGTTTTCTCACTAACGTCGTACTAATAGAAGTCGGCGGATTTTGAAACGATCAGGAAAATTTTGGGGGAATTCATTGAAAACAGTCGACAAAATGGTAAGAAAGAGGCATTTTTTTCAGCAAAAAGTGGGTAAATTTTTGAAAGTTTTTGGGGAAAAATTAAGTTGACCTGGAAATGCTGTAGTTTCGATGAGAACTGTGCAGAAGAGGGTACATGTACTACGCGGATGGTCATAGCAACCATACAAAATTGTGGTCTTTGGCGAGTTCGTGAAAACAAGAGGCGTATTGGAATCATGTACTAAAATTTAATAACAGTATTATTGGTAATAATAAACAATGGAGTTTCATCCGTTTTACGTGAAGTGGCGTAATACTCTGTGAAAAACGCTATGTAGTAGTCGTGAAATATTTTTTTTCACTAGTGTTTTTCATATCACTAGAGTGAAACTCCAATATTAGTTTATTAACGTTTATTGATTGTTATTCCTGTTGTATTATTTCTGTTATTTCTTCATTTATTGTCATTGTCAACTTGTTCGTGTACATTTTTCTACGGTTTTTTTGAACTGAAAGCATTCCACCGACGAGGATCTCAGGTGCTTCAAAAAGGAGGGAAGTTGGCAGAAGCAGAGACCAAGTTGAGGAGATGTTTGGAAATTCGAAGGGAATTATTCGGGGAGGACTCCTCTGTTTTTGGGATAACTTTGAATGTAGGGTAATGGTTGGGGTAGTAGTAGTAGTAATTGCAGTAGTAGATGTTCCCGTGGATGCCCTGTTAGGTTCTCGCATCGGTAGTAACAGCTCAAGGAGGAGATAAGCTTCCGGAAGCGGCACGTCTGTGTGAAGAATGTGTTGATCATGCTGGTAGTAGTTCTGGGTTCGACGATATAAAAGGGTCGGAGGCTCTTTGGTAGGAATGAAAGATAAATTTCGGAATTCGGCTGGGCTCAGTATGAACGAAAATCTTCATCGTGAGTTTCACAGTTTCTCATTCGAGGGTGAATGGGCTTCAATTTTCTACGACTTCCCAGTGCATTTCGCCTTATTGCATTTGTCCAATTTCTCCGTTTCGTTTGAATTCACTCGACGAGGTGAGTTCCTTCCTAAGGATCGGTCATGGCGAGAAAGTGTTATGGCATTATTTTCGCCTTATTTATACCCCTCCGAGTTGAATTGTTGTACAATTCAATGGAGTTTCACCCTAGTGATATGAAAAACACTAGAGAATAATATATTCCACGACTACTGCATATCACCGCGAATATCGCGTTTCTCATGGAGTTTTACGCCACTTCACGTAAAATGGGTGAAACTCCGATGTTTTTAAGAAATCTTAGTATTAGTTTAATTTTATTGTACGTATAGCGATACAATGCACTACACAGTGCCGAATCGTTATGAAGATAATTTTTTTTCGCGATAATGTGTACAACTTCGAGAGTTTGCACTTTTAGTCGATTGACATCTTTTGGAAAATCGGTTCATTTTCTATAGTAAATTTATGAGTAAAATAAGATCATTAGTGTTTGTATCAGAGCGCATTCTGGGGCATGTTCATGCCAACACTGCGAATGCATATCTTCAACTTGGATATACCCAGGTGCAGGCAGGAAAGTTTGGAGAGGCTGAGGAAGCTCTGAGGTGGAAATAATTCTAGTGGAGAAAAAGTTGAGGGCAAAAATGTTCACACGTTTTGATTTGTGTGTAACAAACATGTGCGAATTTCCGGAATTTTTTCTATCGGAATTTCCCGGAATATGTTGGCATGCATTGTATGTGTTATGGTTTGTATTCGTATGTGACCATTGGTTGATCATCATCCGTGTGAATGTGGGATATGGTAGCTACTTCGAATAACGTCATCACTAGGGGGAAGAAGTTATACTACGTAGTGCAGAGGCGGTAGGTCTTGTCGACTCGACTTGTGATGAGGAAGGTGAAAGTTTCGCATGAAGGCAATTTTTCCGGGGATTTTCGCCGAAAAAATATATGTTGATGAACCTTCTTTTAGTTTGGCACAAATTTATGCGGTGATTTTTAGTATGGGAATAGAGTGCTTGTTCGTGATTAAGCAGACTAGATTGAACTCTGTGTTGTTAAAGAATCAAAGAATGAAAATCTAAATGCCTTATGATTGCTTATATGAAGTTCAACCTTCTTAGCCGAACTGATCATCGCAAAACTTAGGTTGTTCTCCGCAAAGTGAAATCGATAATATAATCAGTAACATGTGCACGCGTACGCTGTCGAGAGGCGCCTATTCAGAGGTTGCTCTGACAGTAGTATTGATACTCATTAGAGTTATTAAATATCTTGATTTATGGTATGTAATACTACTGGTAATACAATAGTATATAGTTGGTGTGAAATGTGTGTATAGTGTTATCGTTATGATTAGGGAGTGTGTGGAGATACGAACTAGGGTGTTTGGGAGAAACCATCCGGAGACGATCAAAGCACTCGGAATGTACGTTGAAGTGCTCAGGAAGCTGTCACGGTTCGAGGAGGCACATGAACTTGAAAAGTAGTGAAATGGGAGGTATCGGGATGAAAATAGTGACAAGTTGTGGAATTTAGTGATATTTTCTGGATTTTAACCGTAGTGGAATTTGTTATTAGGGAAATCCAAGACCTGCGAGCAATACAGAGCTCCGACGTTTTGAAGGGGAAATGGGAAGA